TCAGTATGCCGGCTCTGGCATCACTGTAGGCGAACTGTTGACGCGCGAGTCGCTTCGACCGGATTTGTTGAGCGTCCGTAAGGTGTATGAGGCAGGGAGAGAGGAGGAGGCTTCCCTCGTGTTGGGGCGTCTCCTCTCCGAAGGCGGCGGGGCGGCGTATCAAATTCCCGCTGCGATCGTCGGCAATCGCACGTTCGCCTATAGCTTGGACGAGGTGGAGTATGTGGATCGAATGTCCACCTATCTACTCCACCGCGGGCCGTCGACCCCTCGCAAGTTCGTCCTATCCAAGATCCCGGGGCTATACGTGAGCCCTCGGCCATTTGCCTATCCGAAGGCACGCGTCGCCTTACAGAAATCGGCCTGTTCTCAGATGCGGGTTCATCACGTCGCCATTGCTCTCCATGACTGGGGGGCGTATCGCCACTCTGGGGAGGCGGACGGGCATGTATTTCGGTCGGCCTCCTTCGAGGGAGGCCTGTCCACGAGCGATTTTCAGCGGCTCCCCGAAGTGGTGAGGGAGGCCCTCCCTTCGTTGGGAGTCCATCCCCTACTCCCGTATGTCCTGAAGCACCTCGGGGTGGCTTGCTAGGACCAGAGGCATCCTGCGCGTGACGATCTGATGCATAACGTTGAGAAGGAGTGGGCCTGGGCCCTTGGAAATGCTTTCATGAACGAAGTATCCATACACGGGCGGGTGTTCGTACAACCGGTCGGAGTGTTGGCCCATTTGGGAAGGGTCGCGTGGGATCTTCCGAGCGTGCCTCTCCATCCCCTTGAAAGAAGTACCCAACATGTGCCCTGGAGGTACGCATTCGCCCTCGAATTAATGCATCGAGTGGGCGACGGTGGAGACATCTCTGCCACTGGACTGACTTTACCACCGGAATACAGTCTTCCTTCCTCTCATATGACCATCGATCAGGCGCTTTTGTGGCTCGGCCGGGGCCCCCGGCGTCTTCCTCGAGGCCCTCTGTAATGGTAGGTTCGGAGGGGCAAGGGAAAGATGGAGGGCAGGTTGATGTGTGTGAGTGAAGGAGTTAGTACCGAGGTTTACTTGGAGCCGTCTTTCGGCGATACTTATACACTTTGAGTGTTACACTATCCCATTACTTTGGCACCTGGTAAACCGTACTCACCATATGCGCGACCAAGCGCGGTCCTCTTCTGGCCCGTCCACACTGTTCTATTTCCACCTTACGAATTGACTATTGACTATCAGTGCAAAACAGTTTCTACACATTTCGAGTGACTGTAAACCATGGCCCTATGCATGCAATCGTTTCACACCTTACTAATCTGCATCCAGACATGACAGAATATATTCTTGCGCAATGAACAACTTGGCATCTCTCTATTTCCAACAACGCAAAGTCCTGTCATATCTCAGTCCCCATACATGCCCTTGTTTCGTACCTTACTAATTTCGGTACACACTGCCAGACAACTATGACGGGTAGCAACAATGTGCATCCAGAATTTCTACACATCTCACGTGATATCCGATGTGAATCACACGAGTACTGTCATCAACTTGCATCCAACGGCGCACCATAACGACAGCACAGTACAACGTCGCATGCTGAAGAGAGTGTAGTACAACGGCGCATGCTGATGGGGTCGCATACAGCGTGACGTGTACACTGAATACCCACGTAAGTACATGTCTCTCGTGAGAAATACTTGTTGTACTTTTAATTCACATGTACTGTACTCGGACACGCGCCGGACCGTATGCAGGCGACGTGTACCAGTCTCCGTACACGCAGCAACCTGGCGACGTGTACATGTGTACACCGCACACAACTGTCCAGCGCCAAGGCCATCCGTGATTACCCATTACAACCACGGTGAACAACTTGAAACCCCCGAAATGATGTAATTAAAACGTATACCGATCATTCAAGATACATCACCAGCATGACTGCATATAAGTGGACAATAACAGACCAATAGAATTGCAGCGTTCGAACCAACTCCCAACAGATTTGCAGTACTGCCTGTGTAGCCCTATAACGGTTCGGGCCAAATGCAATTTTTCGGCATTTATGCAAATTTGCATAACACTCCAAAAGTCCACTTTCGTCCCCAGAACCCCAAAATCTGAGACTTTACAAGTGTCATGTGGTGATATGGGGTGAGGGTCCGGACCGTCGAGTCATGTACACGTGTCGCTCGATTTTTGCACTTTCCAGATAACATCATGTGGTCGCACATTTTCAATACCTCCCCTCGATCGCATGCTTTGGGCATTTTTGCACTCGGAAAGCAAAACCATGCCCACGAACTTTTCAAACAGCACGCGACCAAATGGTTTGGTCAGCATATCGGCTGGCATTTCTGTTGTCGGACAATGGTACAAATGTGACCAGTTTTCGCTGCACCGCATCTCGAACAAAATGATAGTACACAAGGTACTGCTCAAGTTGGGCATCTCAATGGAGTCACGGTACGTCCCTTCTGCCGTCAACCGCTTCGCAGATCGCCTCTCTCGCTTGCGTTCACTGGACGATTGGAGGATCAACACCCGGACAATCAGGGCGCTCTTACACGAGATGGAATCAACAATCGACCGTTTCGCAGACCAAGAATCAACGATCTGCAACCGGTTCAACAGCCGCTACCGCTCCCCGGGATCCTCAGGAATCGATGCGTTACAGCAACATTGGGGACACACGGTCAACTTCTAGAACCCACCGCTCAAGCTCATCCCACTCGTCGTGGAGAAGATCATTCAGGAATCGGCAACGGGCTTACTGGTCACCCCGTAGTGGCCCGCTCAGTCGTGGTGTCGTCGCCTCATGGAAATCGGAACATTTCAGTTGTTCCACGCTCCAGACGTCTATCTACCACCATTGTGGGCACCACAGCACCTGCCAGCCGCACCGTGGAAAATAGCCGTTTGGACGATACGCAGCAACTTCCTCTAGCTGTTTCGCTTCGTGGTTCCGTCCTACGCACCGCCGGAGTCGGAATTTCAGGCGGAGGGACTACTATCGCTGGACTAATTCATCGCGCTCGGGCGCCCAACACCTGGAAGAACAATAAACGGTTCTGGCAGAAGTGGACTACGTTCTGTACGTTGGAAAGGATCGACCCATGGGCCGCGGATGAAGGATCTTTGCTCAGGTATCTCGGTTGGCTCTTCGACTCAGGCACGATTGCTGGCGGTTCAGTCAAGAACTACATCTCCGCAGTGGTAACGGCCCACAAATGCGTCAAGTTGCCCGTTGGATACACCCCACTCGTCCAACTCGCGCTGGCCGCCTACCAACAATCTGACCTAGATCGCCGCGCCGAAAACGACCCGGACAAACACAAGGAACGACGGGCCCTCCCGAGCACCGTAGCCAAGAAAATCTTCGTCGCTGCTATGGCCGCTCCTGCTCTCAACCGTCAGTTGATTTTCAACGCTACCGCTGTTCTGGTTTCCTACGTCTTCTTCGAAAGGGGGGAGGCTGGCGCCGCGCTTCGCATGGACAACATTCAAGTTTCGGAACGGTCAATTGACCAGGCAATCGCTTTGCGGAAAAATCGGTCTCGAGTGGCACATACCCTATCCTAAACTAGACTATCTCCAGACAAGCTTTCTCTCATCGACTTGGTCTTATGGTACGACCGTTACCGCCGGAAAACCCGCTCCACAAGTCGCTACTATTGGGCCCTCCCGGGTCAGCGGCTCACACCGTCCTCGGCAAGCATTTCACGTTGGCTCCAAGCTTGCCTGTCTCACGCTGCCGTCACACTACCTCCGCAAGTCTTGTGGTCCTCCCACTCGTTTCGTATGGGTGCCGCATCGGAATGCGCCGCAATAGGAGTCCCTTCCTACCGCATTCGCATCTGAGGGGATTGGAGTGTCGCTCGCACAATGGAAGAATCCTATCTCGACGCTCGCGTACAGCCGTGCGAGGATTCCGTCTTCTTTTTGGGACATCTGTCCGAAATCTCGACTACTCCTTATGTAGTTTCTTCAACACTATTCAGTGCATTCATTGGCAATTGAAAGATGAATCTGGACAAGGGGGCTTTTCGGTTGGACGCAGGACAACTCATCAGAAAGTGAAAGACAAGTGGACCATTTCAGCCGAATTCAAGTCAGGATGACTTGGCGACAAGTCAGCACCAAGCCACAGGCCATGACTTGGGGAATGATTTTTCATTCGCGTAATAAAACTTGGCAAAATTAAGAATCAGCACCAAGTCACGCCACGGTTTGGAACCCCCACTATGACTTGGGAATGATTCTTCATTCGCGCAATGAAACTTGGCAGAATTAACAATCAGCACCAAGTCACACACCATGTTTTGGCACCCCCACTATGACTTCGGAATGATTCTTCATTCGCGTAATGGAACTTGGCAGAAATGAAATTTGGCCACTGGCCGAAAACAGGGCTGTATAAGAGAGACACGTCAAAAATCTTTCACCACTCTTCCCGCTTCCTCAAGTCGTCGCTTGTTATCCCACCGTCCCTACCTCAGCTTCCGCTGCACCGTCATCAAGTCATCACTGGTTCTGTTCTCTCCCTACTCTTTCTTGCATGGCTTAACTATTCGAGAATGTTTTTTACTCACGCGCTCGGTAAGGTAACGCGATCCCCCGTCACTACTTACGCCCTCTTACCCCGGATCTACCCCCTGATCTTGAAGCTTACCAAAGCAGAACTCGAACTCAGGTGAGTCACGGACACGAGCCCCAAATCAAAGCCGAAGTGGTCCTCATCTGCCGAAGCGGGTAGTATCGCTAGGATAGCGGCCCTGGGTGGCAAGGAAACACGCGCCACTACGCTGCTTTGGCCGTTGTATCAAACGTTTATGTCCACACCAATGGGGGACAGCGAAAGACGGGGGTAACCATCCGGGAATTCAAGGAACTGTAAGAATTTCTAGGCCGAGATCTTTAGGTAATAAAGCGTAATCTTGTTTCTTCAACACTATTCACTGTGTAGCTATGAATTTGGTGCGCGCGAACTGGTTTTCTACTGTACGTGCGCATCTACTGACAGATACTATTATTTTTATTTGTTTTTGCGCATTTCATCATCACTCGCGGTTTGGCTCTAGTAACTGATGACAAGGTCGGTCTATTGCAGAATTCTGCTTGCGTAAACCTACTAGTAAATGCTCTTTTGCGTATTTGCTCAGTCTTTACGCAGAGAGAACGTGTCTTTGGTAAAGGCAAGGATTCAGGATTCGTAGTCATTTGATCGCGATCTCGACAGTGCGTACGCCTTTGTCGAAAAGGCCTACTGAATACCAAAGTGCTGCGCAAACGGAAGCCACTGCACACCACCAACAAAACAGTTCCAAAAACGGACAGCAAAGGTGACAGCAGTCAGGGCAAGGGCGTTTCGTCCAAGCAAAGGGTCAAGTGCGTGTTGCTCGAACGCATTAACGAGCTGATAGCGTGAGTTGCTGGATAATAACATGAACAATCCCCATACGGCTGACGTAGGGACGACGGGTGCTAATTGCACCCCGCCTTCCTCTGCCTCGCCACGACGGGCAGCCGCGGCGCGACGCTGCTTGACGAGAAGTGTTGTGAGACCGTGGCCCAGCATCGACGAGAAGAAACCAACCAGTCCAAACTGGAAGGCCTTGAATGTGAAAGCAGATGTACGTTGAAAAGGGGAGAATGCACCGATTTGGCCGGCGTGTTTTGGTAATCCTTGCAGGAATGCTGCAACGTGTAGGTGGTGAAGACAAATATAGATAACTCTTCGTCAGGGACTGCTGTATGCGATCGGATGGGATGGCGCTCGTCGTAGTAATTCAAACTTACCTCCCAAACCAGCGGTCTTGGCACTGGCACTGAAAAGCGCAGTAGGGGACAAGAGCCAGACGAGCATAGCATCGCCGACGAGCTCGAGGGCCATATCAGAGAGATAGAAGTCAAACTCCTTCCAGAAGCGCTTTCCCCTTCCCTGGACCTCAGCGAGGGTCTTGGTCATGAAGCCGACGCTCAACTCGACGCCAAGCTGAATCGGTAGCCTTTCATTGGCAACGAGCCTGTTTCTCAGAGCAGGCCACATGCTGGCGAGCCAACCGAGGAGGGGGATTTTCTCCACGGCCATGAGGCGACGTAGTTGGGAGGCAGTGGCGGTGCGGACATCTACCGGTAGAGAGGAGATGTCTCGGCCAGCGGCGGTCAGAATGGCGAGCACCTCGGGGTCGACGGGATCTTGCCGGTCGTCTCCGCCACTGCCGTCGCCATGCCAATGGCCGTTGCCGCTGTACGGCGGGGCAGCACCATTACCTCCAGCAGAGTGTAGTGTTGTCTCGTGATTTGGATCGTAGTGATGGTGCAAAGGTGATGGTGCGGGGGTTTGCGATATTGGATCTGAGGGCGAGTTGTTCGACTCGGAGGCGTCCTTTGACGGTTGGGATCTCGACCTCGTGAAGTCCGAATTGTATCTTTTGGAGGAATTTCGCAAGCGCAGGGAAACGGGGAGCCTTCGCGGTGAGGTGGGCGGTAGCACGTGGTGACGTGTTGACCGCGGCAGAGGCGTAGGAGCGCCGCAGAAGGCTTGCATTGTGTTTGGAGCGAAGAACTTCATGGGGTGGTGGGGCGTGGAGATGGTGTGTTTTCTATTGTCCGGACCCTAACAGATGTGGAGGGACGTCAGCAGGTATAGTTGCCACGGCCGCACGGACACGAAGCAAATTGAGCAGAGGTTTGGCAAGGTTGATGAGATACAAATGTGTTCGGGAAGGGCGGAAAGTTCAGCCCTGGGGCCACGTGTCAACGGCCTTGAACGTCGTTGACTGACAACACTCTCCTCCCCATTCGTTGTGCCGTTTTATAGACTCATTTCATATCTTACATTCTGTCCTGTGCAACCTCAGCCCCCGCCGTCGTCGATCAGCCGGTGTTATTGCGCTACTGTCGTGGCACCACCGCCGGACTATACACGCCACATCCGAAACTAAGCGTGCACCTTTCGTCGGTCGATGGACGTCGCAAAAAGACCACCGGACGATTCAACGGCAGTCTCTTGCGCGCAAGCTCGACATAGTCTTGAGGAAATTACGACTGCACATAGAATCGTTTAATGCATGTATCAACAGACCGAGAAACAAACCCCGACTTGCATCATCAAATTACGCCGACATATCCTTCTTCTTCTTCTTGTATACCCCTACAACTATGCAATGATCTCTCTCATAAGGTTCCAATGTCAACTGCTCCACAGGCTTGAGGGACATACCCCTCAGCTTCTCCACTTCGGCTGCAAACACAGCTTCAGCTGGAGCGGTTGAGTCGATACAGTTTGCCTTGATTGAGATCATGTAATGACCCCCAGTCTTCAGGTAGAATTGTGCGTTGATACCAACAATCCTGGCCTGATCAGGCTGCGCAACATCAGCAAAGATAACGTCAACCATCCCAACCAACATACGGTATTTGGCCGGATGACGCGCGTCCTCGATAATCGGCACAATGTTTGTTCGCTTCTTGGCCAGGTTCACCAAATCTCGTCCTGATCTCGGGGAAAACTCCACCGCATACACAACGCCCGTAGGCCCAACCACGTCGGACACATGAGACACAGTCGTTCCGGAAGCGGCACCGAGGTACAGAACTTTGGCTCCCGGAGTGATCCAGCACTTGTCAATACCACCGACAATACCAGCGGCCAGCTTGGACCTAAACGGCGACCAAAATCGGTACTCGATTTTCTCCTTGGCAACAGTCGCTCCATTTTGTTCGGCCATTGGCGCCGCAGTTTCCACCTGCACCCGTTTTTCGCCGTACACGCTCTCTCCGACCACCATATTCTTGGTGGCCAGTGAATCGTCCTTACCCTTGACAACGAAGATACCTGCGTGGCGGAACGGTTCAACAATCACTCTTGACCCGCCTCGCGCTCCGAGACCTCTCCGCACACCCCCGGCGCCTCGTCCACGCCCGCGTCCTCCACCACGCCCACCCCCACGGCCCCTTCCTCCCTTAAAACCGCCGCGGTCCCCACCGCCGAACCCGCCTCCGAAGCCACCACTGTAGCCCCCGCCCCGACCACCACCGAAACCGCCTCGGCCACCGCGACCACCACCGAAGCCGCCCCGGCCGCCACCGCGGCCGCCACCGCGGCCACCCCGGGGTGTGTACGCCATGTTTAGGGTTTGTTGACAAAAACGAATGACAAGTTTGAGACCTGATGGGGTGGAATCGACGGTATAGTCTCTTTCAAGATGATAGCGTCCAGAATCACCCTGGAATAAAACGGGCAAACAGAGTGATCAAATTCGCGATCAACGCGAAGGCGTCGGCGGCGGTTCAAAGCGGATGGGCATCCAGATATCAACCCTAATTAGAGGAGAAGTAACAGAGGATCAAGAATGTTTTAAAAACAAAAAAAAAATCCAGTCGTGTGCAGCATTGGTCTCCCGGCCGTTTCCCTCAGGTTACCGTCCAGTAGCCTTATAGCGGAACGGTATGACACAGGGCAGAGCAGATGGCACAGACGCCCACCACTGTACATCACATCGCCTTCGACCGTTGTTCCCTGGGCTTCCGGCAAAACGATCTCCATTGCAAACGACAGAATCGCGCATTCAGGTATGGGTGCGGGGGCGCGGGGTCCAAAGCTTCCTAAGCGCAGTGCCATAGAACGCCTAACCAGGAAAGGGCCGGAATGCCTGCCAGAAATGATGGCCATGCTATCATGCTTTAAGGACAGCAACTTCAACGAGGCACGGTGTGCCGGCCAGATGCGCTCTCTATCCGAATGCGTCAGTCGGCAGGTACGCCCGCTGCCTTTCTCCGCTGCGAAGCCATGACGAGTCCATGCCCCCGAACTAACCTTCCGCGTTTCTTCTATACGCGATCTCTCTCTCAGCCGGAGGCAAAGTCGAAAAAGAGCACAGTTTTCTATCACCTCAAACGCTTGTATTACATGCAAAGAAGATAAGTTTCCCCAGCTGTGCGGATCGTTCCATCTGCGCTTATGCGAGTTTTACTTTGATCTCAAGCCATTCGATGCCTTACTTTTTTGAAAGAAACATTGCCCGAAAGTCGTCTTGCGTTTTCGGTACTGATTGGCAGTCTTCGTCTAGCTTCCCCGCACTTCCGTTCTCCTCAGGCTCTCCATCCGTCATCTTTACGTCCCCATCCTTTCCCCCGACTTCCGCTTGAGTGTCCAGAATCCTTCGCTTCACAGATCGAGGCTGTAACTGCCACACCGGCCCACGTGCAGCTGCATGCGACTTTGCAGTGTGTCTTGGAGACCCGCTTCCTTTCGCCTTCCTCGCTTTCCGCCTTGGAGGCTTCGAGCGTCGAACCCACACCGATCGCCCTTTAATCGGCTTCAAGTGTTTCTGTAGCGCCTTCTCTACACATTCATCATTTTCAAACTGCACGTACGCTATACCTTTGGATGCACCGTCGCTTCTTCTCGGAATGCGAACTTGCTCGATTTTTCCAGCAAAGTCGAACTCTGTCCGCAGTTCAGTGTCAGAAACGTTGAAAGCAAGATTGTTAATAAATATTGTTCTCGGTTCCACCTCACTTTCATCTCTGGCAGCGCTTGCACCTTTTTCAGGTTCTCTCCTGCTGACGACTACTTTTCTCCCGCTTTGCGCCTCTGGAGTTTCCATTACCACCTTTCCGTTCAAGTTCTGCGGTGTCTCAGTATCGCTCCCGAGGTCACGTGCTGCCTTGTCAACGGTCTGTACTGGGGATCGTTTTGAGTCGCCCTCCATCATGCCTTGCTTCTCATGTTCGACTGCAGATCTCGGCGCACCATCGGATTTGTTTCTCTTGCGCTTTGGCAGATTACGGCGACGGGTATTGTCAGTTTGCGTTTTCCCGCCTTGTCTTGCTTCGGGTTTGTTTTTCGACCTTTGCAGCCCTGACAACGTTTGGAGTCTGCTGTGCTGAGCTCCTGCCAGCGAATACACGGACGCCACTCTCTGTGTGAGGGGTACTGTGTGCGAACCGCCAGCTACTTCAAACTGCATCCAGGCGTCGGAAAGTTTGCGTACTTCAGCCACGGAGGACACCGCAAGCATTGCTCGCCTATAAAGCTCCCGGACTGCGACAGCGTCGCTTTCCTTCGATTCGTGTAATAGGTTTGCGTACAAGAACCACCAATGCGCTTCAAAAGGGCGTGATGAAACAACTTCTTCCAGGAGCGAAATGGCTCTTGCTGCTTTTCCAAGAGCTCGAAGTACCGTGGCGGCGTAGCACTGGGCTGATGCCCATTCTGCTGTGCCACTTACGTTGAAGCCCAAAGTAGAGAATACCCATTCCAGAGTCTCGTCTGTGTTTTGCAGGGCTAGAGAGGACGTCCAACATGCCTTTGTCAATGTTTCTGCCCCATACATATCGCTGGAAACCATGACATAACCCTTCACCCTACGAATAATGGATATGAAATCGTCTTGTTTTGAACCGCTTAACGACGTATCGCTGGCTTCCGGAACGAAGAGCACAGCCGAGGTCCATACTTCCAAAGCCCAAGGCACGTTTCTGGTTGCGCGTTGGCAAACCGGGTATACAAGTTGTGTGTTGACGGTCTGGCAGTAGCGAATGTACTCTAACCATATCGTTGGATTCAAAAATGAAAGCGCAATGCATCGCTCATATACCGAAAGCGCAAGGATTTGACTCACAGTCTTTGCATACTCTGCGTATGAGCGGAACAGCATGGTGATATCTTCGGTCACCTGTCCGAGCTGGCGGTCCTCAATCTTCGGCAACTTCCGTTTTAGTTTGGTCTCAAACACGTCACAGTCCTGTCGTATTCGTTCGCCATTTTCCAGGAGAAACACATGTCCTTCCAACATTTGTTTCTCTGGAGATAATACGTGTGACGAAGCTTCCCCCCCCGAGTACATGAACGCACGATACTTTTCCCAGAGAGCTTCTCCACCCTCCACGACAGCCACAGCCCCGCGAGCACACGAGTCCGAAAAGCACTCCCTGACAACCGCTGCGTCGATTTGTTTTGTTTTACATAATTCTATGGCGAGGTCAAGCCGCATGTGATGCAAATCGAGAGACAAGTAATCTTCTAGGGCCTTTGGAAAGACTCTCTGCAAGATCGATATTTTCTCTGTTGACGTTGAGGAGATGCGCAGCTCATCTTCAATCCACTGTTTCCAAACATGAGGTGGGAGAGGAAAAGCTTCTGCGAATTTGTGCCGGGCGTGACGTAGGGCATGGACGTCAGCACCCGAGAGACGTATCGCGTTGACGAGGGCGAGGTGTGCTGTGAAGTCTTGCGGGCTTTCTTGCACCGCCTTTTGCAAGGCTTGCAGATCTTTTTTTTGTTCGTCATCAGAAAGAGAGAAGTCTGAATCTGAGCCAGACGAAAGCGACGCAGGAACATCCGAGGCCATCGGCGCTGAGTCAGACGTCATTAAATGAAGAGACTTCTGAAATCGAACTAATATGATGCCTTCGACTCACCCTCACATGTCGAGGACGTCAGTCCTTCCCGCGGAATGTGTCTGTTTTCGCATCCCAGATTTGCAAATTTATGAACCGAACATCCAATATCTTGACAAGGATCCTTTTGAGTACGGTGTGCAGCAGGACACGTGTGGATTGCCTCCCGGCTGCGAGGGATCACACAAGGCTCGAGGGTATGACAACATCACCCGACGATTGCCGAGGGTTGCCGAGGGTTGAATAGAGAGTTTTTGAAAACAAAAAATCGCTAAATTGTGGTGGCTATCCGATCGACAATTCTTTGTCACATTTTAGCGAGTTTTGCGCCGCCGGAGAGTTTTTGAACCATTGCAAAGTCGTGACTAACTGAACCCCTTCCAACCTCGTACTGAGTGCTACAGCCCTCTCCCCATATCTTCATCGCCCAAACCCACCATGCGTCACAAATCGTACAACAAACGAGCTGTTGTATCCAAAATACGCTCGACCACAAGGCGCCTTCGCCTGTCCATAGTGGCATATCGCACTCGCTCCATCCCATTTTACTTCGCCCGCAAGCGCCGACTACTGCGCATAGATCTAACCAAAATCATACGGCGGACGATCGCTGTAAGTTGTATGTCGTGCAACTTTAACATTTATTCCGACCTCCGCTGTCTCCAGGACTTCCGCTTTAAGGGCCACAGCCATCATGGCTTTCAGAAGACCGATTTCGAGATGTGCAGTAAACCTGAACCGCTATGTGCCCTGCCCGTTGCCGACGGGAGCGGCGCTCCGGTGGAGGGCACATGTGGTGGAGGAGGGAGGAACGGGTGAGGGCGATGATGGTGATGGGGATGGGAATACGGGTGAGGAAGGGATGAAGTGAGGTGATGATGGCGGGGGTGGTGGGGGCGGGTTTGTTTCGAGTTGGATTTGAATGAAGAGAGAGGGTCAAGTCGGTGAAAGTTGTTGTGGGGAAGGTGTGGACGGCAACGTTGCCATTTGAATGGGAAGGGAGGCAACGCCCGTACCACGAATAGTGTTCTGTAACAAGACGGGGGAAATGTTTTATCAATGCGAGTGGGGTGCGCTTACAGAAACAGTAGCGGATATGAAGCTAATTAAACTTCTAATGGGTATGAGAGGTCCACCTCATGGGTCGGTAATCGAGAAAGGATCGCTGCAGCTACACTGGACCATATTTCAAAGCTGATGCGTTGGCGGATTCTAGATTTGGCAGTAGCAGTCGTGCATGAGTGGAGAATAGCCATTAATCTTGCATGGGTGTCAATTATTTGTAGGGTACACTGCGACGACGCGTCGAGTGTGTCGAAAGCCAGCGTCTGAAAGTGCCAGTCGAGCACAAGAGCTGAACGGTTGTCGGGGATGAGTAGGGCGTCGCGGATTGTTCGGTCTAGGGCCTTTCGCTTGCGGAGAGAAGCGGCATCGGCGGCTCCTCCACGGTGGCGTGCAGCCTGATTCAATGTGCCCCGGCGAAAGGGGCTGCACACTGTGACATCATACGCAGTGGGTTTGTCGGGCGGGCAGCCAGGGCCGGCGGCGAGGGCTGTATGAGGATGTCTGCAGGCCGGGCTGCTGTGTTGGGAATGAGAAATGGGACTTCGAGTGAGTAGGCTAGGCCTGCGGCGCGGAACACTTGTCGTGCAAAGATGTTGCGTACTGCATTATGACGATGTATAGTACCAAATCCATGTGAACACATGGTGGCGTGATCTCCTCCGGCATCCACCTGTCGGGAGCAGTGGACACAGCGTAGTGGTGAGATTGAGTCATGTGTGACTGGTGCATCTAAGTGACGACGTGGCATTATAGACCACGTAGAGTTGTGGACGCGTGACACAGCGGCCGGATGAGCAGTTAGAAAACTTGTTGCCCCAGGTGCGAGTAAAGAATGGTATCTGCCACGTTTTCTAATTGTTGCAGCGCTATGAACTGACGGTTTCGGAGACGAATCCCACAGGTATGTCTTCCAGTATGCAGAAGCTGCGGCTTTTTGCTGCGCCTGAATTAAAAATTTGTGAATTCGTTCAGGTCGCGTCAAACGAGCCGATGGCTCCAAATATCCAAGGTCTAATTTCGCCAGTGACGAACAGGGCGTTCGTAGGGAAGATAGCAGGTTGCGCCGTACGACGCGCAGGTTTGGCCTTGCAAGTGACTGATATTGCATCACTAAAGGGGAATTGTGGTCCTTGGATGCGAACCGGGGCACAGTTGATCAGACTCGCCCCGTAGGATGCGTGTAACGTAGAAGCTAAAGAAGGAAGACCGTGGCCTCCGTGTATAAAAGACAATCGGGTTTGAGCAGTGGTGCTCGGCGAAAGCGGCATGTTATTGAATCAAGTTGGTCTTTGTCAAATTGTTGCGCAAAAGGCAAGGAGAACTCAGGGGGCACGAGGCGAAACAGGTGTTGCATGCGGCATGGGGATCCGGACACGCCGTGGAGGTGAAATCGAGTTCGGGCCTCTGGTATACAGTGTAAGTGTGACAAGGCGGTGTTGCATTTTTTGAGCTTTGCTTTTAGATACTGTGCCATGTAAAGCTCGGTCCCGATAGGGGCGCCGAGAAGGTCCACTCCTCCTTCTTCGATGACGTGTAAAGAGTCGACAGCAGTGAGGGCTTGAAGGTTGTCGCTGCGCTGTTTTGGCCAAAAGACCCTGGTCTTCGCGGAGTTTAGGTAGAATCGGTATTTAGGCCCTTCTTTCTTGATGATCTCCAGCGCTTTCACCACTTTGTCAATTCTTCCGATGATCGTCCCATCATCCGCATACCACCTGTTCATCAGGATATCGCATGATTGCGAAATATGGCGGGTCAATGGCCACAGCGCTAAGGAAAACAGCAGCATACTAGCGGGATCCCCCTGCTGTGTTCCTTCGCGGCTGCGAAGCATGGTGGGGGGCGAGGATGGCACAATAAGGGGAGGAGGTACTCTAGCATATATCATATCCAAGTAACGAGACAGTGATGGTGTGCGGGTAGGGAGAGCTTCCAGAACTGCTTGACGGGAGATATTATTAAAAGCGTTGGCAGCATCAATCGAAATCATAACATAGTGGGGGTCGTGTCCGTATTTTTGGACAAGGGAGCGAGCGTCATGAACGATCGCATCAATCCCATTTGGAATTCCATTCGCCATCTGCTCTGGCGCCAAGTACTCGCGTGTGTCCTGCATGGCGGCTGGGAGAAGGGCTTTGGTGACGAGCCGTCGGAGGCTTTGGCCTATGGCGATAGGCCTGATTTTTCCCGGCTGCGGTTGAAGCGGCAGCAGCGTGGCGGCATTGGCAAGCGGAATTGTTCGGAGGGGAAGCGAACCTCGAGCAAAGCGATTGACAAGGTTCGTGAGCGCCGACAATCCCGTTACGCCAGCTTCAGGACTGATAGACGTAGTCGCGAGCAGGTGAAGGAGTTTGGGTGACATGCGGTCCGGACCCGCGGCGGAGTTCGGGTTGAGGCGACAGACCGCATGTAATACCTCATTCTCACTGACCTCGGGTGGTCTGGGGTGCGCTGAGGGGGGAGGGGCTTTACGGGTATGTGGGGGAAGGGGTGCAGTTGGCGGAGC